GGGGAGGAAGCGTGGCCTGGTACACACCTGCAATTTTAGTTTTGGTGAAACCAAGGAAGGATGATAACTTTCAGGTCATCTTGGGCTACACAATAAGAAGAAACAAACTGGGAGAGGCACCTGAGGATGTGGCTTTGCTTGTCTCGTGCTTCCTATGGAACCTGAAACCCTAGATTGGAACACCTTGTTGTATATAATCTAGCACTTGTGAGGTGGAGGAGGGGGGGGGAGTCAGAAGTCCAAAGTCATCTTCAGCTGAAAAAAAAAAAGTTTGAAATAAGCCTGAGAAACAGGAGGCCTTGTCTCAAAACAACAACAAAAGGAGAAGAGAAAGGATGGGGGAGGGTTGGGAAGAAACAAAGGCGTAACTCCCGCCAGTTCCATTCCAGTTAAACAGATTTAATTCATCTCAAGCAGCGCCATGAAACTGAAGCAGGTTACACAGGGAGAATGAAGAGTGCCAAGAGTCCTTTGTGACTAATGGAGTCATAATGGGTCCCTCTCCCTGCAATTATACAGCGGGATATCACAGTTTCCTTGGTAGCACTTTCCCTGGTGCTTTCATTATAGGAACCTGGCAAGAAGTTTAATGCCTTTGCTCGAGCTGTGACTCACTGTAAAAGAAATACCTGGAAGCATAGAGCCAGAGTTAACACCTTCTGACAGCTTACAGAAAAGGTGGCAACTGACCCCAAAGTCGTTATCACAAGAGGAAACACGGGCTAGACAGAGACTTTTAACAGTTCACTTACACACAAGAACCATGTACATTCCTGTCAAGCAGAATATCCAGAGATGGGAAATGGTGTTTAATACACAGCAGGCAAGGGCTGAACAAATTGCTAATAAGAAACAGTCCCAAGAAATAGACCTGCTCTGGAGAGCAGGATCGCAGAAGGAGAATGGAATCAATGAGACGGTCAAAGATTTCCCATGTAAAACAGTAGCTGAACTGAGAAATCATGGGCTTCAGAAACCCAGAGGGCTGGGCACCCCGTTTCTAAATGGAAATTTGTTGGAAACTGTAATCTAAGCACTTTACAGGCGGAGACAGGAGCACAAGTTCAAGTGAGGCGTTTATCGTGAGATTTTTGCCTCAGAACAAATGTTTTAAAATAAAAAAAAAGCAAAGAGCTGAACACGTCGATGCTCCCCTGCACCCAGCACTCTGCCGGCAAGTCCAACAACTTCTGTGTTCAGCACGCTCTCCTCTATGCCCAGCACCGGATTCTCTGCCTTCTGTTTCAAAGCCCAGCACCCTACCCTCTGGATCCAGTCCTCCGTGCCTTGTTCTTTGAACCCAGTTCCTCGAGCTCAGCCATTGCACTCTACACCCATAGGCCCTTCCCTGCCCTAAGCGCCCTGTCCTCTGCGGCCAGAGCCACACGCCCTACCTCTGCTTCCTCCGCTCAGCATCTTTACTCTGCCAAGTACCCACCCCGGAAACCCTCTCGCTTCCAACTCAGGCCACGCCCCCAGTCTCGCCTTTGCTTCTGCCTTACTGGCTCAGCTTTCCTCTGTTCTTGGAGTCCTTGGTTCCTCCCAGGAGTCACGTCTGGATCCTCCCCTGCCCAGTTCCTCCCACCGATTCCACCCATTCTTAAGCATTCGGGCTCAGTCTGTCCCCAAGGCTGACTTTAGCTTCCGTGGCCGGAAGAGTGGCGCGGTGCTGGTGTACGAGGTAAGTTTGCAGCCTCAACTGTCCTGTCTAAAGTCGCCAGCAGGGTTTGTCGCCCGCCCTTGGAGCTACTGCTCTATTATCTGATCTGGTTAGCAAAACAGAAGGATATTCCTTTTGGGGATTTCCCAGCGAGAGAGCTCTGAAGAGTGACCTCGCATGTCCGTCCTTCGACAAGTCCCAAAGGGTGTGCTCAGGCCGCCGGGCAAACCTGGACCAGCAGCGAGCTCGGTTCCCTGAAGCACTCAGGCTTGCAGGCGCAGCCGCGATCTTCCTAGGAGACACAGTGCCTTGGCCAAGGTGACACTTTGTCCAAGCACCAATAGCTATTTAGCGTAACGCCACAGATGGGTAATCAGTTATCACCAGCGTGGATTTCAAGCAATTGGTTCGCCAAGTTGAAAGAGGTGACTCAAAAGTTAAAACCTACACACCATTTGAATACATTTGTACCAGTCTTTGGGAAGTTGCTTTGAAAGAGCCTTTCCAGGACATTTTAAAACACCCTTTCTTTTCTCCTTGGAATGGCCCATTTTCCTCCTCCTCCTCCTCCTCCTCCTCCTCCTCCTCCTCCTCCTCCTCCCACTTCTCCCTCTTCCTCTTCTTCTTGAGGAAAAACAATGTAGACAGATTTTATTCAGGAATCATTTGAAGCTAGATTGTTGGGACAGCAGAGAGAAAATATAAACATGGCATTTTGCTCTGTAAGGTTTGGGACAAATCAGCAATCCTGCTGCAGAAATGAATAAGGAACAAATAGAAACCACTGTTTGTAGTCTCCGGCAGGTCTTCAGGTTAGCAGTGGCTCAGCTGAACCTGGGCAGACCAACAGTGAGAGCCAGTCAGCAGGACTCTGAATATGCAATGAGCCAAGTGAGATGGAGGACCCAGGCAACGAAGTAAAACTAAGACTCTATGCACTGTATAAGCCGTGTAAGCCTGAGATCTGACAGTTTAAAAAAAAAGTTTGTGTGGGCTGGACAGACAGCTCAGCAGTAAGAGCACTTACTCTTAGTAAGAGTATCCAGAGGGACCAGGTTTGGTTCTCAGCCTCCACATCCCTACTCACAGCTGTCTCTAACCCTAGTTGTTAAAAATATCCTTTTTTTTTTTTTTTGCGCTCCTAACATGCAGCTTGAATGTTTGAGTTGCATGACTGACCCATTTTGGGGTATATGTATCCAGGCTTTGGTTTGTTTTGCTCTTTATATTAGAAATAGACCTTGAAATACTCTTAAAGCCCAGGGTAGCCCCTACTCTCTCTCCTAAATAAAGAAATGTAAAAGATTTAACAGTCAGATGTTTGGTCCTTTGCTTGATTCCCCTCTGACTAGAATAAATCCACAGAAAAGATATTTGGGGACAACTGGAGAAAGTTGAATATGGGCTGAGTTTTAGCGACTATCATGTAGTTGCTAAATAAGAGCGGTTGTCGAAGTTATTGTTAATGGTGCCATTGGCTACATCATAAAGTGTTTGTGCTTTAAGAAATGCATAGTAAGGGCTAGAGAGATGGCTCAGTGGTTGAGAGCACCCTCTGCTCTTCCAGAGGTCCTGAGTTCAATTCCCAGCAACCACATGATGGCTCACAACCATCTTTAATGGGATCTGATGTTCTCTCCTGGTTTGTCTGAAAACAGCAACAGTATACTCACATACATAAAATAAATAAATCTTAAAAAAATAGAAATGCATAGTATTCAAAGCTGAAATACAGTGGTGTGTGGGAATGTTTTAGATTTCTTGCTATAAACACAAAAGAAAAAAGATAAGTAAAGTACACGTTATCAATTTTAGTACGTTTTTAATTTGGGTTAATTTCCTTTTGTAACTCATCTTTTTTGTGAATGTTTGGCAACTGTTATAGTAATATTGAGAAAGTTGTAATGGTAGAGATGTCCTTGGTGTATCTGCAACCCTGAACTCCTGTATCATTGTTTAATTTTCTACAAGATGACTGGCATGGGTATCTATCACAAGTTTGTATAGTCAAGAACTTTACTTGTCCAAAAAGACTTTGCCCTCAGCTGCTGGAAGGTATTATCTAACTCGTGACCCAGGATGTTTGCCCTGTACCTTTGTATGCAAGGAGAGCCTAGCTGTGGATTTCAGGCCAGGGTGGTATTATGTTAGGCAAGTTTGCCTGTATGTTAGAGTCCTGGCAAAAAAAACAAAAAACAAAAAAAAAAAACAAAAAACTGGACACTGAATCCATAAAGAGCTTCTTTGATGGCAAGTCTCCGTGTATATTATCATGTACCGATCAATCTAGAAACTCCGGGGGAGAGGACAATAGAGGACACATTGGCTTTTCCTCTGAACTCTATCCTGTGAGCTTTTGACCTGGGCTTATTTAGTTTAACTGTAGCTGTGAATAATACCACAGCTTACAGGGCCACCATGAACCTTTCTAGTGGATTATTAAACTGAGGTGATCGTGAGGACATCCTCTTCCAGGACTCTCCAGCCTTGCAATTCATGTCAGAAGTGGAGGCAGTTAGGAGGGAAAGCCAAGACCAACAAGACCATGACCTTGGTTCACTGTGAAATCCCAGGTCGTCCACTCTAGGGCAACTTTGTGTGATGTCAGAGCCTCCAGCTCCTGTGATTTCCAAAGCCTCCTTTGTCCTCTGTTAACTAACTCTATTACAAAATATAAGCCAGGCCTTGGTGGCCCACACTTTTAATCCCAGAAATCAGGAGGCAGAGGGAGGGGGATCTCTGTGAGTTCCAGGCCTGCCATGTCTACGTCGAGTTTCAGGACAGCTAGGGCTACACAGAGAAACCCTGTCTCCAAAAACCAAAAACAATTTTTTTAAAATTTAAATTGTTTAAAAATTATTTCTAGCCGGGCGGTGGTGGCGCACGCCTTTAATCCCAGCACTTGGGAGGCAGAGGCAGGTGGATTTCTGAGTTCGAGGCCAGCCTGGTCTACAGAGTGAGTTCCAGGACAGCCAGGGCTATACAGAGAAACCCTGTCTCGAAAAACCTAAAAAAAAACATAACTTAAAAAAGAAAAAAAAAAAAAAAAATTATTTCTGAAAAGTAGCTGAGTGGGATGTTTTATTCACTGCAGGATTATAACCCCACCTACCCTCAAATAAAATTAGTTTTCTTTTTATCTCCTGACATGATCCTCAGATGAACTTCCTGAGGACCAGGAAGTGTAAGACTCCATCCCTCCCTGCAGCAGCTACAGCCCTGTTGGGCAGTTAGCAGGAGTTTACCACTAAATTTCTGGTTCTGTCCCCATAGAGTTCAAGACACAGTCCCAGACTTCCAAATGTCCCTTGACTTTTCAAAACTGACTCAGTACTTTTACTTCCTAGGAAAGCTGTGATCACAAATTCAAAATTGTTGAACCTTAGGGATTTTAGAGTCGATCTCTCAAAGACTTTCTCTTGCGTATTGCATACTAATCACCCCTGTGCTCTCTACAGGCTGCAGAAGGACCCAGTAATATGCCTAAACCAGCTGTGTTCGACTTTGACAATAAGGCCAAACAAGATGCACGGATGGTAAACTTACTGTTATTGACTAGAGCAAAATTGGCTTGTTTCTCGATAAGTAGTTACCTACGGAGCCTTTACAGTTCTTTGAAGTCCTTTTTCTCATGACTGTCACCAAGATTGGACTTGTGCTCACAACCTTGCCTCAGCCTCCCAGTGGCTGGAATTACACATATGGGTCACCTCTCCCATTACTACTGAAGTTGTGTTGTTCCTTTATTGAATCAAAGCCCCTGCTCTTGCTTGCATAGTGGTTTTTATTAGCATAGTATGCTTCTCAAGTTACTTATTATGACGGTTGAAGGACTTTGTCATCTACTCCTCAGGAAACTGCTAGGCAGAACCATGTGAATCTTGTATCCTGTTTGAGTTCCTCCTCTGAAGCCTCAAGCCAGGGAAAGCGTGGAGCTGATGAGAGAGCCCAGGAGTCTAAGGATATCCTAGTATCTTCTGAAGATGGCATTACGAAGATCATATTCAATCGGCCTGCCAAAAAGAATGCCATAAGCTTCCAGGTGATGCTCCTGCCCAGGGACTGGACACATTTTTCTTAACTTCTATTTCTTTCACTTGTGCAACTGTAGAATTTCAGCATTGTTTCTATTTTTGTGGAAGAAGATTAGAGCATTGGGCTTCATTCAGCAAAATTGGGCATCGTTTACAACTTGTGAGTTTCCAGTAGGTTCTACATATCCAGAAGGCAATGAAGCTTTGCTGGGAATGGAAGCATGAAACAGTTAAATCAGTCTCAGTGAAAAAATCATTAATAGGAGATGCACTGAGGCCTAAGGGAGCATAAACCTCCCCAGAGTGTATTCAAGTCACTGCTTTCTGTGCTTTCCTAGGCTTGTGGACCCTAACTTTGTTCAAGAAGCTGAGGGAGGAGAGAAAAACTATAAAAGAAGAGACAGAGGAAGAGAGGAAGATAAGGAAGGGAAGGGGAAAAGAGAGGAGAGGGAGAGGAGGGGAGGAGAGGGAGTTCATCTTCAGCCAATCATTGATAGCCCTGTTTGAATGTGTTGTTTCACTGGGCAATTTTAAATTTTCCCTTGAACTGCATTGATAAGTTAATCACTTGAGCCCTCCTCCTTGATAATGGGCAGTTATCAGATGCTTGGAGCTGAACTGAAGAATAGAGTTTGCTGGAGAATAGAGCACAAGGTCCTTCAGTGGGGGACCCTGTGCTAATTTGAAATGTTAAGAATCTTGTAAACTTGCTCGTGCACCTTCCAATTGATACAGCATTTAATCCTGAGAAGTTTGTGTGTGTGCCCTGAGTCGCTCTGTGTAATTTACTCCTTTCACTCATGCAAATGTAGAATTTCAGCCCTTCCTGCAGAGAGGACCCTGTCACCATTATTTAGAAAAATAGTTCAGCAGGTTAGGAAGTGACTTGGTAAGTTCTTACAGCTGGTAAGCAGGAGAATCTAAATCGATCCATTTCTTTCCTGGCCCTGGTTCTAGCCAGTCACCTTGGCTGCTGTGTCTCCTTTACTGTGATTCTCTGGAATTATTTCCCATCTGCCTTGAGGGAAACAGTCACATCAGTTTACATACTTTTACTTTTCCAGTATCTTTATAAATACCCACCCTTCTCATCATTCTCCCATATCGAATTTTATTAAAGTAAAACCTATACCAATTTTGAGAACATACTAAAACTATGGCAAGACTTTCAGATACATTCAGAGGACAATGCCCTTGTACCCAGCACAGTGTCTCAGGAATCTGGCCTCTGGCCTTAATTGTCACTTCCCAGACTGCCCAGGACACTTATTCTCTCTTGAAGCCACAGCTGAGATGCTGTTCCAGGGACATTTTTCTCAGTCACCTTCCTTCTTACTTGCTGGAGGCAACCTCAAGAGTTCTAGCAAGCTGTGTGCTGGCCATGCCCTTGCCTTACTCATCTCTGTTGAGCACAGTAGCTGTCCAGCCACAAAGCTAAAGGACTGGGTCTCTCCCTTGTTCACTTTTGGAACAAAGTGGTTGTCTTGGTTAGGGTTTTACTGCTGTGAACAGACACCATGACCAAGGCAACTCTTATAAGGACAACATTTAATTGGGGCTGGCTTACAGGTTCAGAGGTTCAGTCCATTATCATCAAGGTGGGAATATGGCAGCATCCAGGCAGGCACGGTGCAGGAGGAGCTAAGAGTTCTACATCATCATCTGAAGGCTGCTAGCAGAATCCTGGCTTGCAGGCAGCTAGAATGAGGGTCTTAAAGCCCATAACCACAGTGCCACGCCTACTCCAAAAAAGGCTACACCTACTCAAACAAGGCCACACCTTTTAATAGTGCCACTCCCTGGGTGGAGCATACACAAACCATCACAGTGGTTATTTGGTACATCTGCCACAGCATCTGTGCATCATGTGCACCCAGGAGTTGTCAGGGGAATGGAAATCCTCTCGGGAAGCCTCTGTTGTAGCATCAATACAATCTCTAAGAGTGTTTATCGCTGTGTTAAGAGAAGGCTTTCAGACTGATACAGTGGCTCCATCCACTGGATGATGGATCTCATTTTCATTGTTCTTTTAATCTGCCTTTTCATTCACGTAGATGTGTCATGATATTATGCGAGCACTTAAAAATGCCAGCACGGATAACTCGGTCATAACTGTTTTCACAGGTAAGACACTTCCTCAGACTTACTCAATTTCTACTTTAGGGAGTCTCGTACTATGGTCTAATTTATAAATGTACCATAATATCATGGGTATAAGACAAGTACTCTTTGACAGTTATTTATTGCTAAATCATATGCCCCAACTTGACTGGCACAGTAAAGCTTATTATGACTGTTACAAGAGTCAGGACAGAAAACAACTCGACTATCCAAAAATGAATGAATAGACAGTTTTTGTCTATCCACAGATTCTCCTAAACAATAAAAAGAAATTACAGCGTGATAAACAGAAACATATAAAGGAGTTTTTTTAAAAAAAAAAAAAGGTTCAGCAAAATTATCAAAATAAGAGTAGATGTTGTTTGGTTCAACTCATGTGAGTTCTATGGTAATGAACCAAAGTTATACCCTGTTGACAGAGTCTGAAAATAACTTTGCTGGGGCAGATGGGATGGCAGGGCTAGAAAACCATCTGGGACATTCTGAAGTGTCAGTACAGTAGCCTCTCAACGGAATGTTTCTTTTTGTAATTTTGCCTCGCAGAATTTCAGTTATATGTTCTCACCCTTGGTCTAGAAATAAGTAGAAATTTCTAGAAAATTAGCAGTGTGTTTTCAATAAATGTTGTATAGTATACTGTTATTTTTTAAAGTTTGTTGTTATGTCTTACCCAGCCTTCATACTGAACTTTGCCACAGGTATGTACAGTCTCCCTCAGCGTCTCCTTGGAATTAGTTCCATGGCTCTCATCAATAGAGAACTTTACACACCCACGTTCCCTGTATAAAATCACGTGGAATGTGCATAGAAGGCCCAATCACTCCATCTACTTTTAAGTTCACTCTGGGTGTCTACAGTGCTTAACACAGAGTGATGCTATTTCAGAATTCATCACATTGTTTAGAAGTGGACAGTCACAAGGAAAGAAGTCTGTGAATATTCAGTACAGATGTATTTGTTTGTTTGTCCTCAAATGTTTTCTATTGCTTGAGTCCATGGATGTAAAACCTGAAAACAAAGAGGATCAATTAGAAAGGAAAAACCACAATACATAATTTAAAGCCTGGTACCACACCATATCTCAGGGGTTTGTGGACCGTCTTGGCATGTTCCCCCTGAGGATAAGGGGAAACCACTCTGTCTTGTCTTGGCCTGGGATCACTCTTGTTTTTACAATTATCAAAGGTATTTAATGGTGCTAGGATAATAGCCCGAGGTAGAGTGCTTGCCTAGCATGCAAAAAGTCCTAGATTTGATCGCCAGCTTGGGCATGGTGGCATAGGACCAAATACTGGTGATCAGTAAGTGGGGACAGGAAACTAGCAGCTAAGGGTCATCCTCAATGATGTTGGGAATTTGAGGCCAACTTGAGCTACTTGAGACCCCTTTTCCAAATAAAACTCATTAAGAAGTATCCATTTCATGGTAGGCAAACTATACTTTAATAAAACACCTTCAGTGGCTCTTAACACAGAGACAACGGTTCTTACTGTAGACAACCCCACCCAGTCTATCTATTCATCTTAAATATAACAGCTCCCCGTGTACCCACTTCTTTCTCTGCTTCAGCCCTGGGGGCTCTTCTTTCAGTCTGTTATGTACACCCTGGAGACCTCAGACACAGAACCTTGTTTGCACTGTTTCCTCTCTGCCAGCCTTGCCTGTCCTTCAGATCTCAGTCCAGCTGTCCCTGCTGTCCCTTCCTCAGTGAGCTTAGCCCTGAACACCCCGATAGACCAGCCCTGTTCCATCAGTCATGTTGTATGTAGTCACACCACCTCCATTTACTTGTGTTCTTTAACACTCACATCTTGATAGTCCCTGGTGTGTTAATGGGACTCACCAGTGTTCTTCTAGTGCATGGTCCAGAGCCCTGCACACAGCAGATACACAACGGCTGTAGAATGAATAGCCATGTGAAGGAACCGTGTCTTCCACTGAAGGTGTGTGTGTGTTCATTAAAGTGTTGATTGTACCGTTCCCAGGAACTGGTGACTACTACAGCAGTGGGAATGACCTAAGAAACTTGATTAATGACGCCGGTAAAATACAGAATGCAGCCATGTCTACTACACTACTGAGGTAAGAGTGACATTAGTCTGATCCTAAGGGGTTCATTCTGTTTTTTTCCATTTTCCCATATGTGTTATAGTGTACCTGTATCTATGCATATTTTACATGTGTTTAAACCCAGGTGTGTGTGTGTGTGTGTATATATATATATATATATGTGTGTGTGTGTGTATGTGTATGTGTATGTGTATGTGTATGTATATGTGTATGTGTATATGTGCTTCAGGTCTTAGGTAGACAATCATCTTTCATTGCTTTTCCACTTTCTTCATTGAGACCTCTTCACTCAAATGCCAACCTCACTCATATGGCTGGTTTTGCTAGCTGGCTTGCTCTGGGTTCCCATCTCTATCTTCTGAAGCAGGCCTCCACACCCACCCCGAATTTATTCAGGTTCTGGGGATCCAAACTTCTCTCCAGTCCTCCTACTTGATTGGCAGGTGTTTTAAGTGATGAGTCATCTCCTCGGCTCCCCAAGAGGGTTCATTCTTAACACATGAGTAAAATGCCCACTCTGTGCTGACGCACTTCATTGCGATTCCCCATCAGATTCCCTCTCTTCATTCTGCCCTCTCCATGGGATTGACTGGAAAGTGTAAGGTGAGAAAGAGCAGAGGGAGTGTGAGTTCTCATGCTTGCATGGTGTGAACAGACAGTGCCTGTGAGTGCTGGCCCACTGGAAGTGGTCTTGGAAGCTGTTGAAGGAAGGCTGAGGCTTCAGCTTCCCAGTTCTGCTGAGTCTCTCAGTCTCCCTGTGCTAGAATATGGGGTCATGTACTCAGACACCCACCAGGATCTCTCCGGTCATAGGTGGACCACAGTCTCGAACTCACAGCCCAGAACAGCGTGTGAGTCAGGCTCAGTCTGACCTTTCATTGGGCCCCATATACAAGGATCTTGATTTAGTCTGGGAAGGTGATCCTTTAGGGTGGTGTCAGCTTTAATTTATATAATCCTTTCTATAGTTAGGTAGGGCTACTCTGAAATATTTAATGCTTTCCTATTCCCATTTCTGTAGGGAATTTGTAAACTGTTTCATAGACTTTCCGAAGCCTCTGGTTGCAGTAGTAAATGGCCCAGCTATAGGAATCGCTGTCACCCTTCTGGGACTATTTGATGCTGTCTATGCATCGGACAGGGTAAGTCCACTCCCAGCTAATGAGTGAGCTCTTGTGGGTCTCCTTTATAGTGGCTAGAGCTAAACAGATGATGGGAGTTAATGGTTATGCTGGTTAGTTTTTGTCAACTTGAAAGATTAATTAATATTAATTAATATTTTAGTTTTTGTTCTTACTATAGTGTTTCTCTGTGATGACCAAAAGTAAAATATTTTGAACACAGGCAAAAATACAAAGAAAAAGATTTAAGTTTAAAAACTTGAGAGTAGGGTTTTGATGAATAATGGAGCATTTAACTAATGTAAGCAAGGCTCTGAATTGGATCCTTAGCAACATCAGAGGAAGAGAGGAAAGGAGGGAAGGAGGGAAGGAGAGAGAGAAGGAGGCAGGGAGTGAGGAAAGAAGAACCATTTTATTAGGTGATAGTGATGTGACTGGGGAGGGATATAGCAGATATGTAGGGCCAAAGTATCTACTATACAGTGTGAGGATTATAGTCAATATTAGTGGACTATAGCCAGTACGTTTGCCAAATTAATAAATATACTATGGCTGCCCATGGCTGGGGTATGGCAGTGTGGGTTATCTGGTTCCACTAAAGTGGCTGTTTGCTTATATGTATCTCATAGTAGCATGTTGTTTAACCTTAAATACATACTGTGAAATTTATTATTTGGGGAAGAAAACACTCAGATATAAATCAGTGCTAGCATTTGGTCTCCATAACTTAAATCTCACTGGTCCCTGACTGCTGAAGCCTGAGGCTCTTACTGAGATGTGTTATTGTAAACACCAGATGAGATGACAGTTGTCTTAGCACTTGAACCTAGAACACTGACCCGGGAATTATGGACCAATATCCCTCTTCTGACGCCTTCTCCTTAGGAGGTTCTAAAGGTTCCTGGTTAACCATTAAACAGATTCCCTGACTTTTTACTGACTTCATAATAATACTGTGAAATTTATTATTTGGGGAAGAAAACACTCAGATGTAAATCAGTGCTAGCATTTGGTATCCACAACTTAAATCTTACTGATCTCTGTAGGGAAGGGCTGTGGAGGGCTGAAGCTGAGCAGAGCAGAACACCTGCCCACCTGCCGTCCAATAAAGGTCCAGGGTTCAAGACTTATGCTCAACCAGGCACCCAGCTGCTTCTCACAGCCCACTGCCCCACAGTAAACCAGTGATAGCATTTGGTCTCCATAACTTAAATCTCACTGGTCCCTGACTGCTGAAACCTGAGGCTCTTTCTGAGATGTGTTATTGTAAACACCAGATGTGATGACAGTTGTCTTAGCACTTGAACCTAGAACACTGACCCCGGAATTATAGGCCAGTATCCCTTAGGTTCTTCTGGCACCTTCTCCTTAGGGTGCTAAAGGTTCTTGGTTAACCACTGAAGAGATTCCCTGGCCTTTTACTGACCTCATAAACAAACACTGTAGTGAACAAGGGGCTCCCATTCAACCTATTAAGGTACCCATCACCTTGCCATCTGTCTGTGATAGATGCTGGTCTTAAATATGAGGGGCTAAACATACTGTTAGCTTTCTACCATCAAATACACCTTTTCTATGTGAGTTTTAAATTTGTTCAAATAAATGTTTGTACGCTCACAGCGTATAAGTACTTTGCTAATACACATTACACATATACACATTTTATCCTATACAGGCCTATTAGATCATACTAGGTTTACAGACAGAGGAACCTGTTACAGGAAGGGTAAGGAACTATCCTAAAGCCTTTAACCAGTCTGTTGCTAGAGCCTCAGCCCTTAACTGCATCTACCGTTCTATCTTTGCCAATAAGCATTGCAGTAACTGATGGTTGTCAAGTTCATACCTGTTTATGGCTCCTTGGCTACTGTCTCTCCTTTTTTTCTGAGTGTACTTTTGAAGGAAATTTTCCTGACCAAGTTTTCTGGGGTGAAAAGAAAAGTGACATTAATGAGAGTATTTCATGTCTTTACATGCTACATATATTATATATTCTCACAAATATGCATTGAAGTAAATTCTATGTCTTACTATTAGAAATTAAATCTAAGCATTTGTCTACTTATAGCAGTGATTCCCTTTCTAAAATATTTCTTATTCATCAAAAAATATAAGAAAGAAGTGTGTGTTGGCTTACACCTGTAATCCCAGCACTTCAAAAGATGAGGCAGGAAGATTGTCATGAGCTCAAGGCCAGCCTATCTGGGCTATAGAGTAAGACCTTGTCTCACAAAAAAAAAAAAAGAAAAAAAGAAAAAAAAAGTTTTCTTAAGTATAGAAAAAAATGAACGTGCTTGTCATCTCAATCCCAATATTGAAACAGACTGTGGAATCTGAAGAAGGCAGACGACCTCTAGGCAAAACTGAGACAAATGTAAAGTTGAGAAAACGATTGTTCAATTCACCAACAAAAGCTGGTCATTCAAAAATATTTTTAAAGTATATCCATAAAGTGATAGATCAAGAATCCAGTGTAAAAATAGGCAGTGAGGAGAAATAACACCCAAGGAATGAAACACAGTGGTTCTTTAAACCATGAGAGCATTAAAAACTGCCTGCTTCTCCAAGGAGCAGGTAAGACAAGCTCATCAAGAGAAGGCAAGTGTGTTACCTCGTGTGATGGCCCAGGTTTAAAGCCGGGGACCCACATGGTGGAAGGAAAGAACCAACTCTGTCTTCTGACCCTTACTTACACACACACACACACACACAGAGAGAGAGAGAGAGAGAGAGAGAGAGAGAGAGAGAGAGAGAGAGAGAGAGAGAG